CGCTCTCTCACGTCCCTCGGCCTCGTCCTGCTCGCCACAAGGGTATTTATGTGTAAAAGTGTACTTTAAAAAGTGCAAAAGCCACACATTGAGTTTTACTAAAATCAATATTTGCTTTGTTTTTAATGATAATTACTGATGGCAAGTTGACAACCATGATTAATGTAAAATTAATTAAAAATTATATCCAACATATGTTTTAACACAATTTTTGTTAAAACAAATGTACACAAACATGTTGTTCAGATGTGAAGAAATAAACTAAAAACATCTCAAATATATAATTCATTTAAGTTTTATTTAAAATTAATTGAATTATAAGAATAATTAATAAAATAAATATAGAAAGACTGAAAACAAGCGTGTGAACGTAGAGCCGCAGTAGATCGCCTTTGAAAAACAATTAAAACTTAATAGTAGACAAATGCTATAAAAAGAGAACGGAATGGTACGCAGCAAGCTAACAGGCTTGATTAAAAGGACAGGAAAAATTATGCATTAGTGCACAAGCATTCGCTGAAAACCACTGAGTACAGTAACTAAAACAATCTTTTACTGCTGCTGTTATTAACTGCCTTTAATTTAGTGCTTCACTTTGTAAACACAGTTTTAATTTAACCTATTTCTGCGGTAGCACTGTTTTAATCCATCACTTATGTTGCGAGCGAACTGATTGCGCAATAGGGGTGGGAAAAAAAATCGATATTGCAATATATTGTTGTGCTCTCTGTCGCAATAAATAATCGATACACTAACGCCCAATATCGATATTTTATTACAACACAAAATGATTAATTTACCCGTTGTCAGTGTCACTGTCACTACCCATATCTACCATTCTGTTTGCGGGGGGCGCTGTTCGAGTAAATAGGGGTAAAGTGGCGCAAACAGCGGCCGGTGAAGAACACAAGTGAAGAGAGCGCAACGGCCGCGTGCGCGCACTCTCACGTCTTCAAACAACACGAGCGCTGTCTTGCTCTCTCCCTCGCGCATATTAATCAAGATCAATTGACACGATAGTAAAAGGTCGGAAGACCGCAGTTTCACGTGGAGCATTTGGAGATTTTTAGAGATTAGAGACTCGCCTAAACTCAATGAACAACATCTCAACACTAAATTATAAAGGCCTGTCTCATATAGACGCCTGTCTCAAATACAAGCCGGTGCAGTTCGACGATTTGGGAAAATAAAAACCCGGGAAGTTTTACGGTATATTAATTCTCAATATGTACACATGCATTATTAATCTTGTGCCTAACATAATGAAAACGGCTTTTCCCCTCACAATGACAGTAAACTAATTATTACATTAACATGAGTCACGTTGCATAGGCTATTTTCAGTTCAAAATGGCGAAACTAGACAAAAGTATATTCGTGTGCCTGATTATTTTTGTGCCTGATTATTTCCTTATTCCTTCTTTTTCTTTTCAGTCACATATATCGTTGATGAAATTTCTTCCAATATATTGAATATCGTAGATATCGTGAATCGTGATATCATCAAATCGTGGACCACATATCGCCACAGAATTGAATCGTGAGGTACCTGTATCGTCCCACCCCTATTGCGCAACCTGATGCTCCAGGCAAAATACACACATCCCAAGTCTCCCGGAAGTTCCGGGAGTCTCCCGCATATTGATAGCGGCTCCCTGATGCCCGCAAATTAGTTCAAACTCCCGGAATCTAGAGTGCGCAAGCAAGAGCGCGCATGCGAGACAGAAGACACTGTGCTCCAAACATATAGACTGTAAAAAAGATCTCGGTCTCTGCGCGCACAGCAGATCGGCGAAGGGAGAGAGACCTTGCGTGAAGCGCAAGCGCACATGAAGCGCAGCGCATGTAAGACAGTGAGCATCATGATTGGCCTGTTTCAACCAATCACCAGTAAACGCACCCCGTGACGTAAGTAGACCAACTAATCGATAATGACATTCGTTGACAACTATTTTAATAATCGATTTTAATCGATTAAATCGATTAGTTGTTTCAGCCCTACTCATATATTCCAGGTAAGTCTAACAGCATTACAGAAATTGAGAAATCAACTGTAAAATAACACGGCATAGTCTTTACATAGCCTGACTTCACAGAGGCCTATACTGCAATATCACTACCACAGATGGGTATGAATGATAAAACTATGTTCATGGCTTTAATGCATCACATAATATTAGGGCTGTATTGTCCTAGTCGATTAGTCGATTAATTGGTCGATACGTTCTGGTTCGACCAAAATTCTGATTGGTCGATTTTTTCCCCGCGTTCATTTCATCAGTTTTGCCCATAGACTGTAAAAAATGGGTTTGCCGCGCTGAGGCGCACTCATTTCATCAGGTGGAAAGCACTAACTGCTAATAGGGGTGTTTTCAGAGTACCCTTGTTTCACAGGTAACAGTCTGTCTTCAGAACACCCCCCTTGTTTTCACCTTTTTTGGATTAGCCCAACCCAAGAGAGAACGATAAGTAGCTAGAAGGTTTGATGCTGAATATTATTTATTTAATTGTGAGAGCGTTTAATAGTCAGTCCTCTTCTAACATGTCAACAACAAAGAAATCGACAGTGTGGCAGCATTTTGTTAAAATTGATAACGGGAAAAAGGTCGAATGCAAGTGTGCAAGCAACCACAGCTCGACGACAAACATGACATATCATCTAAAAGTGGTAAGCTCACTTGTCTGCGTTAGCTTGCCCTGTCTGTTTTGAGTAGGCTATATGAACAAATCAGAATTTGCATATTTCAATGTTTTAGTGTGATAACCTAACTTTTTTATTTTTTGTTTGGAGCCTAATGCGCAATTGCGCTGTGCCGACTGTTTGTGTTAGTTTTGAGCCTAAGATGCTTTATTTTTCAGTTATGCACTTTATTTCGTTTCTGCTCTTGATCTGGTTTGTTTAATAAATATTCTTTTTTTTATTAAAGTGTGTTTATTAAGAGTAAAAGCTTTAAGTTTATAGTCTATTCGTGTCTCAGCCGCGAAGCTGATCTCTCCTATGTTCAGCCTGTGCGAGGACATGCACAGAGCGGCTGAAATGATAGTGTCTGGCAGTTATAACATATGACAAAAATAATTGTCTAAATTATGTTGCATATTCCTCAACAGTTCTTGTGATGATATCACTAGTTGACAACATAGTACTATCTTCGGAAATCATAGGCTATGATATTGCGCAGGTGCACGTGATGCAACGCTGTCAGAGCCGACAGACTCGTGTGTCAGACTCATTTCAGTGCAAAATAATTCGGTCAAAAACGATTTAATATACTGCAAATAGCCTACTAGTTTTTTATGTTTATTTATAATTCATTTAGGCGGACAACAAGGCTACCAAGTACTGCGCACTGTGCGCAGCTAATTAATTTAAAGTTTTTTTTTCTAACGTCATTTTTAGTCGATTTTAGTCGATTTTTAGTCGAAAATGTCAGGACTTCAGTCGACCAAGATTTTCTTTGGTTGAATACAGCCCTACATAATATGCATGTGTGGTGCATGTAAGATACATAATTCACCTTTGTTAAGTGTAGTTCTATACACTGTTGGTTGTAAACACAGCACTCTGTTCTTCACGACTGTTCAGGGATCGCGGTCCCTTTAAATACTCTGAACGTGTGCTCACGTGGGACGCATGTCAGCGCCATTTGTTATTATTACTTTTCTGTCTATAAATAAATGACACACGCATTCGTGTGCTCAAAGTGAGAAGTTGTCTCTTGCAATTTACTGCAATTTCCACACTGGTGACCCCGGCATTAGTCTGCTGGACGTATCCAGAGACACGACACGACCATGACCGCGAACGCTGTCACCCTTAACCCTCTGGGGACCAGAGTGTTTTTGGGGCCCTTTGGATGTTTTGACATGCACTGACATTTGTGCTTTTTTCAGTTATTTATAAACATGTTAATGGCAAAGGTGTAAATTCACTCTATATATCACAAACGGGGCTACCATAATATGTGAGCAACATGTATGTACATATTTGTTTTTTTTAAGAGAATAATGTTTATGCGTGGTTATTGAAAAAAATAAAAATGAAAGTTGCTGAAATAAAACCACAAAACACATACTAAATATGTGTCCACAAGACTTTTGACTAATGGATGTTGTCGCTTCGAGTTCTGGCTTCAAAATGATGTGAAAATCACCCTGCCTGATCGTTCACATAACACAATAACATTCATTTATACTTTGTATGACAGTTTTTTGGTCAGAAGAGGTTTATGCGTGGGAGTGGTAATGGCCTATCAATATTAATGAGATTCAGACCAGGGGTGTGACAGACACTCTCCCAATGGCTAATGGCCCATCAAGTGAGGCAGCCTGAACAAAGAATGAGAGGAGATTCAAAGGTTTTCAATCTGTTTTATTGTAATTCCTCTATGTGGAGAAACTAAATGTTCTAAATTTGCTCTAAGCAAATCAAATGTGAGTAAAATAAATAAATAATCAGTCGGCTATAAACAAAGCAATTGTGAGCGATAAATAAACAAAACTAAAGGCAGGTATCTCACAGTAAATGCATATACCCCATTGATGCGGGCTCTGAGGAAATCAAATGTGAGTAAAATAAACAAAACTAAAGGCAGGTATCTCACAGTAAATGCTTATGCCCCATTGATGCGGGCTCTAAGCAAATCAAATGTGAGTAAAATAAACAAAACTAAAGGCAGGTATCTCACAGTAAATGCTTATGCCCCATTGATGCGGGCTCTAAGCAAATCAAATGTGAGTAAAATAAACAAAACTAAAGACAGGTATCTCACAGTAAATGCTTATGCCCCATTGATGCGGGCTCTAAGCAAATCAAATGTGAGTAAAGGCAAGGCACAAGTAAAGGCAGATCGCTATCCTCGCAGACCACGCCTGCTATGCTAGTGGGCTAAGGCTAGTAGCGGAAGTTCGGAAAGGTGGATTTAAGTAGTGAAATCAAAGCAATCCAATTGTTTTGAGAATACAGTTACATGTCTTGGTGCCATTTTTGAAAACAGTTCCTGTTCAACTGAAGACACAAGTGAACATTACATGCCTGGCATTTCCAAGGTGTGTCCTGCATTTACCAAGCTGTCCTTTGCAAAGCACACAGATCTTGCGACCAACTGTGCAAATGTTCGTTGCATCTGAGCTCAGCTCAGCGCCTGGAACCGGCACATGGTCACTACTGGTTTGTTTTGGTGCTACTTTCTGTGACACACCACAGAGCTCTGCAATAAGCTGTTCCATGAACTGTTTATGGGTCATGTTACCACATAACTCTTTGTGGATTAGGAAAGCATTGGTGGCAGCAATGTCCAAGAAGTGTAGAAAGATCTTTCTGTACCACTTCATTGTTTTGTGTTGTGCAGTGTAGTACTGTAAGAGTTGATCGGACAGGTCAACACCACCCATATGTTTGTTGTAGGCAGTCACAGGTGCAGGACATGGAAATGTCATTGTCCTCCATGTATCTTGCGTTTTCACCCTCCTCTGCACAGTCTCACCAGTATAAGCAGACTGAATGGTGGAACAGACAGATACCTCACGTGTGTCCATCCACTTCACAAATACAAGAGGTCCATCCCGAATCCACCTGATGGATCCCCTGGCAGATTTTTTTGAGAGTGAATTAGTTGTATCACGTGGGCAGTCCTTCCTGTTGTCCCTGTAAGTACCACATGCACCAAACTTCATTGCAAACAAGTCTTTTAGGAGCTTTGGGCTTGTGTAAAAATTGTCCATGTACACATGGTACCCAGAGCCTAAAACTTTACAGTCTAAAAGAGATGTTACAGCATCATATGACAGTCCATGGCCTGTGGGAAAGTTGTTCTTTCCTGTGTACACAGAAAAGTCCAAAGTGTATCCATTCGAGGAGTCTGCAAGAACAAACAACTTGAAAACCCATCTGGTTGGCTTAGCTTTCATGTACTGTGTCATGCCTGTGTGTGCTTTGCATGCCACCATTCTTTCATCCACAGCTAAGTTTCTTCTAGGATGATAAATGGCTTTACAAGCATGACGGATAGTGTCCATGAGAGGTTTGACCCTGAAAAGACGGTCATGTTCAGGTGTGCCCCTCTTTCTGTCATTCTCCTTATCTGCATCTGGGTGACTCATGTGCACATTCCATGAAATGGTGCGGTATCTCTCTCTTGTCATGATTGTGGCAGGAAAAGGCAAAGAGAAAAGACTGTCTTGCCGCCAGTAGTCCTTGATGGAGCTCATCTTCACCATGGCCATGTAAAACACCAGCCCAATGTAGCGGTACATCTCACTGATGCTGACATCAGTCCATTTAAATTTGCGGCCCTTTTCAATTGCACCAGCAGCCTGAGCATTGGTGTTGTGGCACAGATTTGACACTGCATTCTCAGAAAAAAACACTTTGAAGAGACTCTGAGGAGTGTGTGTGTCAGCAGGTCTCAGTTGTGGTCCAGGTTCCTGTGCTGGCAGGAATCTCAGAGTCTGTGGAACCAGATCAATGTCAGTCTCTGTTTTCCATGACAGAGTGGACTGCTTGTTGCTTGTTTGAATGTTTGTCTTGGCCCTCTTTGCAACAGGTGTCTGATGATCACCATCATCTTTATAGCTGTAAAACAAACAAACAACTGTGAGCATGTTTATTACACAAAAAACTGTATTTCAATCACTAAAAGTAATATTGCCCAGACAAAACCGGAATATGTAAACAGAATTATACTAATATCTGAAAGAAAGGGAATACGTGTACTTACTTGTCATTTTCAATTGTTCTCAAAACTGAACGACACCGGTTGCGTGCCCTCCTCCCAGTGTGAGTTGCAGGTGAAGGTGAGAGTGATGCTACCACATTCCTATAAAAATAATAATATTAATAAAGGTTTAACAAAGTACTATGCCAGCACATGCATAACTGATGGACAATCAGCATGTTGATAAAAAAAAAAAAAAAGCTTTTATATTAACATTACCAATCACTAATTGTAATATTAGCATGCATAACAACAACAACACAATTTTTGCAAAGCCACACAGGCACATATGCATATTGTATCGTCACTAAGTAGGCCTATATAAACAAAATTGAACTAACATCTGTAAAATAGTGGGTATATGTACTTACTCTTTCTGATTTCCGTCTGTGTTGTTGCGTGCCCTCCTAGTGCGAGTTCCAGTTGATGGTGAGAGTGAGCAAGCTACATTCCTTTCAAAAAAAGTTGAAAACTTATTATCATAATTTACAGAGTAGGCCTACTATTCCAGCACATGCATAACTGATAGGTATTAGCATGCTGATAAATAAAACATATGTAACATTATCAACCAACCTCCAAATATAAATAAATATATTATCACTAAGTAGCCTATATAAACAAAATTGAACTGACATCTGTAAAATAGTGGGTAAATATCTACTTACTCTTTCTGATTTTCGACTGTGTTGCGCGCCCTCCGAGTGGCAGGTGAAGGTAGTGATGCTGCAACTACATTCCTTTAAAAAAAGTTGAAAACTATTATTACATAAATATTTCAAAGTATAGTACCATTGGCCTATAGTATGAATAACTGATGTGAAAAATGGTAGACGCATGCTGTATATGCGTGTCAATGTGCCATTACCGGAGATAGCACTAACATTAAACATTAACACATTTGCGCACTTCATCAACTGGGCATATTTACACATTTCAGCACATTTACAACAGATATTTGCGAGGCAATGCAAGCACACGCTTAGTTGATGATAATGAGGCAGCATAAACACTATAGCCTAGTCAAAATATAATCTAAACATAGATAATATTTTTTAAATATCATTTTACATATCATACAGCATTTAGCCTATAGGCTAGACAATTTAAATGGAAGTAAAACCTGCCTATTAAGATATATTTTAAATTTCAATACTCTGAATAGGCTACTGGATGGCAAGTCTGGAAATAGTCCAACCAGTAAAATATGTACATGTTTATATAAAATAGCTTGTCAACTAATGTAAGTTCAACTAAAAGACTTACTCATCCGAAATTGTATCCATGGCTGGATCAAGTCGCTCTTCAAAATACAAACGCTCATCGTCGGAGTCCCGCTCTTCTTCTGAGGAAAATGTGAACTCTTCGTCACTGTCCAGGACGAGCTGAAGAGCTTCCGCGCCGGTGTATCGTGTCATCTTCCAAATGCGCAGGAAAGTGAGTGAATCTTATTATGAAACTTGCTGCTTTTAAGGCATTTGCCTGGGGGCGTTTCTATTTTGCATATGGCCTCAACACATTATCTTATGAATAGCGCGCTCTGCGAGTGGGTGTGAACAAATTAACGATAATGAGCTGAGACCGGAGAAACTGTACTTCTCTTTAGTTTTATACAGTTTACATTGCAGGAGAATATTTGTTTTAAATGTGAATTGTTTTATTTAAAAGTAGAAATTTAAAGCGTTCTTTAGAGGTATGTTTCATGTTTGTGTGATAAGTATTGGCTGAGTTTCCGTTAATTTTCCAGACATGTTTCAGAAAGATTTTTGCAGAGACAGAGTGAGCTGAAAGCGCACCCTGTTTATTTTATTTATTTAAAATAAAACACACGGTTTTGATGTTAATGTGAGTGTACACAAAAAAAGAAGACCCTCTATAGTTTATAATCATGTATTGATTTTATTTATATGACCATAAATGACGGAGTATTTTAAGTCTATGTTGCTGCTATGTGAAAAAAAACAGCAAAACGCGCGGGCGCGTTTCTGGTCCCCAGAGGGTTAAACTCCCCGAATTCTGGGAATCGTCAGCATCTGCATGGTTTGCCCAGACTGAAGCGCAGTTTGCGTTACGTGAGATCACCGCGGATACAACGAAATACTACTACGTTGTGTCGGCTCTCGGAAATTCAACAGCATCCAGAGTGGTGAGCCTTCTTACAAATACTCCCGAAAATGAGAAGTATGCAGCACTCAAAGCCCACCTGTTGAAAACGTTTGAACTGTCGGACACTGAGAGAGCCAACAGGCTTTTCTCACTTCAAGGACTGGGTGACAGCAAACCGTCTGAGCTCATGGACCGCATGCTGGATCTTTTAGGTGAGCACAGACCAGATTTCCTATTCATCCAGTTATTCCTGCGTCAGCTACCTTCCCAAGTGAGAGCTGCATTAGCTAACACCACAATCACTGACTGTCGGAGACTGGCTGAAGAGGCTGATACATTTTTTCTGGCGAGTCAAGGACATGGTGCGGCCGCGTTTTTTCCCGCGCACATCGCTACGGTGACAAGGGACGATTCCACACTCATCGGTGCAACCACTTCTCGTCGGCAGCAGTCTTCTGGCACCCAACAGCTTTCAGGCTTATGTTTCTACCATGCAAAGTTTGGAAGTAAGGCTACCAAATGCCGTTCGCCATGCAGTTTCGGCGGTTCGGGAAACGCCGCGTAGACAGGCTGTTTTCATCCGTGACAGCATCTCCGGACGCCGTTTTCTGTGCGACACGGGAGCACAGAGGAGCATCCTGCCTGCATCCCGTTTGGACATGGTGGCCGACAGCCACGGCCCCCCTATGGAAGCTGCCAATGGTAGCCCCATCCGCACATATGGAACGAGGTACGTCGAATTGTGTTTCGAAGGACAGCAGTTCGGCTGGGATTTTGTTACAGCAAAGGTTGCCATCCCCCTCCTCGGTGCTGATTTTTTATGTGCACATGGATTGTTGGTGGATGTTAAGAACCACCGTCTGATTGACGCCGTTACATTCTGTTCATATACGTGCACGCTCAGCGAGGCCGACTCCATACGATTGTCTAGCATGCTCTCAGCTTCCGATTATTTCCACAGTCTACTTGCCAGTTTCCCAGCCCTCACTCAGCCCACTTTCTCTGCATCTGCCGTCAAGCATGGTGTGGAGCACCATCTCGCCACTTCTGGCCCACCCGTCTACGCCCGTGCTCGGCGCCTTGACCCGACCAAACTTGCCGTTGCAAAGGCTGAGTTTGCGAACATGGAACGCCTGGGCATAGTCCGCCAATCCGACAGCACGTGGGCGTCACCCCTCCACATCGTCCCCAAACCGGGCGGTGGCTGGCGCCCGTGTGGTGACTACCGGCGGCTTAATGAAGTAACGACACCTGACCGATACCCTGTTCCGAACATACAGGATTTTTCTGCACACCTGGCTGGCAAGGTGATTTTTTCCAAAGTGGACCTCATCCGGGGATACCATCAGGTGCCGGTGCACCCACTGGACATTCCCAAAACGGCAGTGATCACGCCATTTGGGCTGTTTGAGTTCCTGCGCATGCCGTTCGGCCTTAAAAATGCCGCCCAATCTTTTCAGCGCCTCATGGACTCTGTTTTGCGGGACCTGCCTTTCCTTTTTGTGTACTTGGATGACATCCTGGTGGCGAGCACGTCCAAGTCTCAGCACCTGGCACACCTCCGAACCCTTTTTGAGCGGCTTAGCCAACATGGATTAATTGTCAACCCCGCCAAGTGCCAGTTCGGTCTCTCCACCATCGACTTCCTGGGACACAGAGTCACTAAGGACGGGGCAGTTCCTCTCCCATCAAAGGTGGAGGCAGTCACACAGTTCCCACGCCCGCTCACTGTCAAATCGCTGCAGGAGTTCCTTGGGATGGTGAATTTTTACCACCGCTTCATTCCTCGAGCTGCTCAGCTCATGCGGCCCTTGCACGAGGCCTTAAAAGGTAAACCCAAGCAAGATGTGGAACGCCCTAGCGAACGCCACCATGCTGGCACATCCTTCTCCTACAGCCCCCATCGCCATCACCTCGGACGCCTCGGACTACGCCGTCGGTGCGGTCTATGAACAGTGGGTAGGCGGGGCCTGGCAGCCACTGGCTTTCTTTAGCCGTCAGCTGCGCCCCTGTGAGCGGAAGTACAGCACTTTCGATCGGGAGCTGCTGGGTCTCTACCTAGCCATTAGACACTTTCGTTCAATGCTGGAAGGCCGACATTTCACTGCTTTTGTGGACCTCAAGCCACTAACTTTTGCCATGGCCAAGGTAGCTGAGCCGTGGTCCGCCCGCCAGCAACGTCAACTGTCCTACATTTCAGAGTTCACCACGGACTTGCAGCACGTTGCTGGTAAGAACAACTGCGTGGCGGACTGCCTATCACGTGCTGTGGCAGGGGCAGTCCATCTTGGTTTGGATTACGCCCGCATGGCAGCGACTCAGTCCACAGACCCGGATGTGCAACTCCTGAAGACCTCGAACACAGGGCTGCAGATCGAGGACGTGGTTTTTGGTGATGCCGGCACTACGCTCCTGTGTGACATCTCCTCAGGTAGTCCTCGGCCGGTCGTTCCCTCAGGATGGAGACGACAGGTTTTTGATGCCATCCATGGTCTCTCCCACCCAGGTTCGAAAGCGTCACAGAGGCTGGTTGCAGCAAAGTTTGTTTGGCACGGCCTCAAGAAGGATGTTAGGGACTGGGCTAACACCTGTGTTGAGTGCCAACGTGCCAAAGTACACCGCCACACTAAAGCCCCGTTAGAGACTTTCCCGGTACCTGAGAGGCGTTTTGACCATGTAAACGTGGACCTGGTCGGTCCTCTGCCCTCCTCTCACGGTTTCACGTATCTGTTAACCATGGTTGACAGGACCACCCGCTGGCCTGAGGTTGTGCCACTGACGTCAGTGGCGTCCATCGAGATGACACGGGCATTTATTGGCACTTGGGTTGCCCGTTTCGGCACCCCTTCAGACATATCCTCTGACCGAGGCGCGCAGTTCACGTCTGAGCTGTGGGGCGCTGTCGCACAGAGCCTCGGAGTAAAACTCCCCCGCACGGCCGCATATCATCCGCAGGCTAACGGACTCTGTGAACGTTTTCATAGGGCAATGAAGGCTGCCCTGCGTGCCAGCCTCAAAGACAGCAACTGGGTCGACAAGCTCCCGTGGGTGATGCTGGGCATCAGGACTGCGCCAAAGGAGGACCTTCAGTCCTCATCCGCTGAGCTTGTTTATGGACAGCCGCTGCGGGTGCCAGGGGATTTCGTACCTAACACCACAGTTCCCTGGTCTGCTACTCTCCAGCGGTCTACTTTACTGGACAATGCAAGGCTTTTCACACCTGTCCCAACTTCCTGTCACGGCCTCCCTCAATCGCACATTCCCACTGGTCTTCAGACGGCTGACTATGTTTTCATTCGCCACGATGCCCACAGGGGACCGCTACGCCCACCCTACGAGGGCCCATTCCGGGTTCTGGAGACAGGGGACAAACATTTTGTGGTGGACAGGGGCGGCAAACCAGAGCGATTCTCCATTGACCGCCTTAAACCAGCTCACTTGGACATAGCTAGGCCTATTGACCTAGCTCAGCCCCCACGGCGCGGACGGACTCCTGCTCTGCCCCCTCCCCTACCTCCCACACTCCATGCCCCACACCCGTGTCATAACGGGACACAGGTTACAGTGGGGTCTCCTCGACCTCCGGCACAGCGCAGCCGTAGTGGCCGGCTGATACGTCCACCTCCCCGTTGACTGTTTGGTTCTTTTTCTAATACGGTGAATTCTGGGGGGACGTGTGTGGTGCATGTAAGATACATAATTCACCTTTGTTAAGTGTAGTTCTATACACTGTTGGTTGTAAAATCAGCACTCTGTTCTTCACGACTGTTCAGGGATCGCGGTCCCTTTAAATACTCTGAACGTGTGCTCACATGGGACGCATGTCAGCGCCATTTGTTATTACTTTTCTGTCTATAAATAAATGACACACGCATTCGTGTGCTCAAAGTGAGAAGTTGTCTCTTGCAATTTACTGCAATTTCCACACATGTTTATTATGTCAGGTTGTGTGTGTCTTACACCCGTTTTATGAGGACACAGTTTTATGGGGACATCATAAGAACATGTTCCTGATGTTTAACTTGACTAGAGAATCTCAGTGTGTTGTGTTAGTTTGACTGAATCCTGGTCTATGAGGACACCGTTTTACGGGGACACACATATGGAATATTAGGAGGATCGATACTGATAACCCATAATTTACAGCTCATTGTGGCTAATACCAATATCGAAAACTATTTTTGCTTGTTAGATTAAATATAATCATTGAAGTTGGTAAAAAATAGTAACCTCTGTTGAAATTGGCTTTCAATTTGACTAAAATTAGTATTTATTTGTCTTTTTTATATATATTTTTATTTGCTGCTCTTTT